CTTAGAACAACTTGGTCATAAAAATTTTTAAAAAATTCGAAAAAATATTTTTTAGAAACTAGAAATGATGAAATTTATTCTGATGCAAATTAAAAATTCTTTAAAAATTTTATTATAGAGTGAAAATTTCAATAGTTACTATGTTTTATTATAAAATTTAAGACGTGTTCCATTACTTATGATTGCCACTGTATTAAGGAAGAACTTGTTTATTGATTAATTCTTTAAAGTCACCGGAGTTATTATAAGATTAATTGCCCATATGAATATTGGAAAAATCTTCACCGTGCAAGGTCACAATAAAGATGGTAATCATCAGAAACCTTCTCTAAATGCCATTGCCTTATGGCTTCAAAGGTATATATAAGTATTAGAACTTCTATATACATCTGTTGATCTAAGAATAATACTCTTTTTGTCAAGCATACAAAGAGTCAACTCTATTGCCTCGAGAATATCTACAGTTTCATTAGCTTGTAAAGGTATACGTATCTGCTTGAAAAAAAAAGATATTACTCCTATAATGTATTGCTTTATATATCTTTTTTTTTTGCTATAATGGTAAGGATATTAACGAAGATTGTAATAACAAAGATAGTAGTGAAGATAATGTTGAGATTGATGGAAATGTCCTATAGGGCATTAACCGTATTAGCACTAGCCTATTTAAAGCAAAGCTAATGAGAACTATTCCACATTAAGCATAATTAGATCAAAATAGATGGTGTATGTTTATTGTTACTTATAATTGGACCTAAATATTTTTAGTTTGAAGGAAATTATGTCAATCAAAGTTTTAGCCATAAGTAGCTAAAAGTTAAATACATTAACTTGTTAATATAAATCTATATTCGATATATTTTTCATGACTAAGAACTGAAATTTTAATAAACATTTACCTGGCTTAAATCAAGAAATAGTAACAACTTTTTTTAAATTATTTTGGTTTGAATGAGAAAATATTCATATGTTTTCTCCCAAGATTTCTATTATAATTTATAGTTAAAATCATATCATCCACCATAAAAAAAGCATTATATAGCAACATCACCAAGACTTTTGGTTACCTTTTCTCTTGTACACCGTGTTTTTCTTTTAATAAAAATATCAAATACTGTTTCGAAGTCAGTTGTTTTTTTGCTCTTTATGTTTTTTAAAAACAGACATATTCTTTCCCTTCTTCATATTGGGATTTCTAATAGTGTAAAAAAGCACTAAGTTATAACTCTTGTTATAATTAGAATCAACAAGACCTTACACAAAATAACTTTTAATAAAACAGGCTTGCCAAGACAATCTATGATACTTTTCTCATAACTGCAAAATATTGCGTTTGAAGGTTTATTTATTTATTTGTTTGTTTTTTTTTTGTATTGTGAAGAATTTAAATTTATATTTATAGATGCATACAATATTCAACAAAGTAAACAAAATTTAGTGTCACCTTATTTACTAATCTTTTGATTAGTTATATTTAAAAACGCAATCAAGTGTGCTAAGATTAATATATCAACATGATCAAGTTATAATCAAAACTTTGGAATTCATTATATAAAATTAGGGTCGTACTTTTTTCTTTATTATTTTTTACTACTATTGAATAAGAGTAAGAATTTTTTTTAGATAAAATACATTAAGATCATATTACAAAGAAAAGACAAGCTATTTATCGGAAAGCACTTTGATTAAATTCAGATGATAAAAATATTGATAAATTGCAAATTTTCAATGATATAGAAAACATGATAAATTAACGAAAGAAAAGTTGCGTATAAAAAAATTACCTTGTCAAATAATACTTAATAAAACTGTTTCATAATCCATTCATCTGACAAAACTTTAATGATTGACAAAGCTCCTAAACCCTTAACGTATCAATTTGTCAATGAAATATTTATAGACATTCAACGAGCTCCTTATAATGATGCAGAAACTTAAAATTTACATAGTATTACACCGTTTTTTCTACAAATTATAGTTTATTATAAAAAAAAAAATTGATTTCACAAAAATTTTCGAGCAATTATAAAAAGGGTTGAATTTTAAATTAAATGAACATAATTTTTTTTTATTATCAATAGTTTTCTAGTAAACAGAGCTCTCTCAACCGTACAATAAATGAACTGTGATAAAAACATATTTGTAAATGCTTCACAGAGTCATGGATACGTACATACAGCACACGTCATTTGATGATTTTAAATATCAATGTATTCTATCCTTTTTTGACTTTCACAGTATCTAAACATCTAACTTTGCAAAATAATTAAACAAAATAATTTTATAATTCGTATATGTGACAATTATAGTTTTATTCACGGTGTGAGACCGGAAACGTGACCTGAAGGCAGGACGTGCCCACGTGATGCGGGAATTCTAAATTTGGGTTTACCGGCAGAATTCTGCGAATTCAGAGAATCCGTCGAATAATCCGAATAATGGTAATAATGCGAATTCATGGAAAAAGAGGAATGATAAGAATAATGATAATAATAAGAATAGTGGTAATTCGATTAATTCAAATATAAAATTAGTTCTCAAATCAATTATAAAAAAGGCCTTCTGGCCCTTCGGGAACATGATGACCCGTTTTACCTAAGTAATAAAGTACCTAAGTCATATAAACATATCCTACCAACTACATACATTCATTTATTAACCACTCGCCAATTCTAACACGCTTCCTTTCGACGCAACCTAACCAAACCTTTGGTTACACGAAGCTAACTTTCGTCAAGCGACAGACTCGCCGATTTCGGAGTTGACAACGGAAATCAATATTTTATTATATAAATGTTATAAAATTTCTACAAGTACATATATCCTATATTACTGTAAAAGGTATAAATGGAATAAAATATTAAGTAGCAGGCAAAAGGATAAACTAATATGAAAATATATTACTAATAACAAAAGAAGAATAAAAAGATGAATGAAATGAAAAATACGACTTTGATCTATCTCGTTATATTGAGTGATCTATAGCTACACTAACACAATACTTGAAAGAATATGTGAAAAAACGTGAACAGAAAGTTCACAGCGATAGCACAATTAGCAATATAGGCGTCATAGTTGTATGTAATATGTAGATTATCCTTTGACATTTGCAATATTCATGTCTTTTTCTTTTTGTTTACGAAGATTACGACAATAAAGGCATAAACCTATCCCTATTCCAGAAAAAACTAACACAAATAGAGGAATCCCGACACCAAGCCCGATTTCTATTGTTATTAATAAATTTAACGACATGATTTGGTTTGATTAATTATAACACTTTACAATTTTTTGAGAAAAAAAATTTTACTCACTAAGACGATTATCATCTGGAGGCACAGTGTAAATTGACAATGCTAAGGGTCCACCACACAATTCATCTTTATTTCCTATACAACTAGAACTACATTCCTCTGGGTTTAACATATTGAAACTATCATAACTGTTATCGCAAAAGCATTGAGAACCTACAAAACAAAGTTTTAAAATGATGATATATTGTTTTACTAAAATTCATTTTTTAAGTCTTTAGGTGTATACCTATTTCTAATCCAGCATATTTATAATTATTATCCTTACAAAAAGCGATACAATCATCAATTGTTAATGAGCTGGATTCTTTTTTCGATCCATTTAAGACTCTTTTATTGCAGTATGGTGAATCTCTAATACACCCATCATATCGTTTATCATTTTTGAGGTTCCGAATAATTGAGACTTTTTCCGTTGCGCTTATTTGTGGCTGTTTATCGATTGGAATTACAGCTTGGTAAATCGTGTATCCGCTATCCCCACCACATATATAACTTTGATTACCAACACAAGTGAGATTACATGTTGTTTTACTTAATGTATCATTTAATTTGGCATATGTTATAAGAGCAGTAGATCCTCCGCAACGGCATTCATTTCCTTTTTGTAAAGCAGCGTAAGTAAATTCGTAATCTGCACAATGATATATACATAATCCAGGATCCATAAGATAGCCATCACGATCTTTATATGGATTATTAAATCCAATACTAGTAAGACCGTCTAAACCATCGATAGAAGTACCATTAAAAATAAAGCAACCTTTTGTTATTTGAAGCAGCAGAAGAATGAAATTTTAATAAATATAAATAATGAAATTAATATTTTTTAATGTTGAAAATATGTGAATTCATTTTGATAAGAAGCATACCCAATGGATCTTGCCGTGGTTCATCACGTACTGTCAAATTTCCCACACATAATCCACCATCAGCGGAAAAACAATTTTTAGAAAAATAAATTAATAAAGCTAAAAATAAGAAAAGAATTTTCGAAGTCATTGTTATCAGGTAAAAAAAAAAAAAAAAAAAAAAAAGGGTTGATGAATAAAAATTTTAAAGTAAAAAATGATGATTATTTTTTACGTATAATAAAAATGAATTTACAGTAAAATAATCAACTTGCTGTATATATAGAAAATTCAAATTTTAGTAATTTCTTACCTCGACATACACGTAAAAGTTATTGTAATTTCTTATCGACATACACGAAAAGTTATTGTATACTTATAAAAGGAAACACATTTGATCAGGTGCTTATGCACGTCTTTTCTAGGCATTCTTTTTAGAACTCTATTATAGAATACATAACTGTAAAAGAAAATTTATTTGCATTATTTAGCTGAAAATGATAAAGGGAATAATGTTTTTCTCATGAAGTTGGAGTTTTTTCTATTTACTATAATATGAAAATTACGTAAATATTTGCATAAGATATTTAATGTTTCCTTTTTACTTTGTTTTATTTTATTTTTTAGTGTCTTTATAAATCAAAATCGTGTTTTCCGGGATGACTATTGTTGGAACATAGTGTACGTTTATGTGAAAATTTTCTTTTTTTTCAAAAAAAAGAAAATCCATGTAACAACGAAAAAATGAGAAAATGAATATCTACTAACTAAACTTTTTTTTTTTATCTTTCGTTGCCGCGTACAAAACCATTATTGGTCGTGTCCAGAAATTATTTCAGAGATCGGCATGTACGTACGTACGTATAAATATTTAACACTGTATGTGTGACTTTGGTCTTTTCTCTATAAAAGGAAGTTAGTTTTTAATTTTCATTGTTTCGACAATTTCGTTTAAATTAAACTTTTTATGTTAAATAATTTATTTTATACTCCGAGATCTCGAGCATTTTACATAAATTTTTAAAAAAAGTTTTGGCGTCATCATGCAAGCCTAAGTCATAATAAATTTTAAATAAAGGTAATAAAACTTAATACGTTAAGTGTAACTAACATATTTCAGATCATAATGGTGACCAATTTACGTATCAGAAAAAAACTGATAAATGTGAGAATTATACAAAGTTCTATAATGATTAGGAACTTGATCGCATTTTTAACTTACATTCAAATATTTGTATCTTATAATAAAGATTTTCCGATCTGTAACACAAATATGCAACAATCTGTGTGTACTAGAAAAAAAAATACACTAGTAAAACAACTATAAATTGTCATATGAGATCGCCCAGCCCACAACAAAATGGGTGCAATGAGCCAACCAATCAGATTTTGAGATTTTACATTAATAACTTGCTTATAGGTCCGGTCTTTCTAAAAACATTTTTTTTTTATCAGATTACTGTATTAACAAATGGTAAATAATCCCGATTTTTCTTTATTACTATTATAGTAAAATTTAAAAGAAAATCCATTTCAATTTTGATACATAACGATAATAATAAATTATATTATACTCGAACTGCAATTTTATTTATTTGTATTTTCTAAATACCCGAAGTTGGAAAGTGATTTAGCATGTATGTATTAGCTTTAGATATAGTACAATAGTATGTATGTAGGTATGAACGTATGCATATGCGTACAGTAATACGGATGTAATGAATGTAAATGCTAAAGGAATTTATAAAATTTTTTTACGTTTATACTTTCAGTAAAAATATGGAATATAACATACATTTTAATGACAATAACACGAATGAAGTTATCATTGCTGCCTTAGAAAATTTGGATAATACTTTTTATGTAGAATATTTAGATTCTAAAAGCAATGAAGAATCTAACTCTTCTTCAGATATTGAACTGCTATCCAACATTGACATTGACAACGATATTCTTTAAGTAGATTAAATGAATTTAACTTTGTAGATGTACCTGATAATTATATTGAAGATAAAATTTATGAAGAATTAAAATTAACAGTTTAAAAATTTTTTGGAAAAGGCAAGTGTTCATGTCGTTCTAAGCAAACTTGTTTTGAACAAATCGGTTATGAAAAGTTTCCTGTGCATCGGGCTGAATTTGAAAGCCTAGATAAAAATATGCATGATATGGTTATAAAGGGCAACTTATGGCCTTTCAAAAAGGTGAAGATACAAGAAAAGTTACTAATAAGGATAGAAAATATTTGTATTTGGTTTCTGTTATAACAATGATATTCCAATCTGTTACAATACATACTTAGCTCTTGTTGGAATTGGTCATACATATTTAGAAAATATAAAATGGTATTTGCAAGAACATGGTCTTGAGGAATGTACACATGGTAATACTGGTAAAGCTCCAAAGAATATGAAATATATTGAAGTAAATTATGATATAGCATGCAATGTATTTAGATTTTTAAAAAATTATTTTAGCATACATGGTATGCCTTTACCTGGCTGATATTTCAATTAAATTTCTGTTCCAATTGTATTCCTTTCATCTAATTTTAGTTATACATCAGTATATTATGATTATGACAAACTTATAAAAATAAGTATGGGAAAGATATTTATGTTATGTCTGAAGCAACTTTTAGTAATATTTGGAAAGCTCTAACACTGTTGCTTCAATTTATGTCTCCAGAATCTGATCTATATAAAACTTGTAAAACAATAAAAATATAAATTCAATATGCTACACAACATGAAAAATATTTAAAACTTATCAATAATTATCTAGCACATTTGAATTGTGCACAAAAAGAATCTGATTATTATAATATAAACATTAAAAAAGCAACTGAAGATGGCAAACTGTCATGGAGTTAATGAATGTAATATTCTTTATTCTCAAACTGCCCAGTGGTTTGTATAAATTATTAATGCACTTACTTTAATTATGATCCTCTTTCATCACTTCATAATTCCACCAGTCTTCACCTTACATATGTCCCTAGTCACCAAAACTATTCAAATGGCATGGCACAGTATATCTGCAACTGGTTATTTACAAGTAAAGTTGAATGTGTATTCAATCTTACAAATTGAACCTTTATTTATAACTTTTTGTCATGTGCTATTGCATCATCGACACAATAAGCTTTTACATTACATTGTTAGTTTGTCATATTAAACTTTAAATTACACTATGTTATCTAACATATTACACATATGACGCTAATCATCACTAACATGTTTACCCTTGAAATGTCAGACCCCAGCACTTAATACCATGTGCAACCAATCATTACCCATTATGAGCTAGACCCCCGTGACCTTTGTCTCAAAGGTCATAACCTTCCTCGCTCATTTCATCCAATTGTCCTACTTCACCTTTATTTTTATTGCTTTCTTTAAATGCATTAACTTTTAACTTCTTAATTCAATTTCTCGTCACTGGGTCTTTCAGCTTTACACTATCTCTTTCTTCTAGATAACATTGTCCATGCTTTCCTACTTTTGTTACTTTGTAGGGTCCAACCTATCGATAGTCAAGTTTTCGAAAAAAGGTTTTCAAGATTGAATTATATACTAAAACCAGATTACCAGTCTTAACTGGATTACTTTTCTGAGCCCAATGGTCATGGAACTGCTTCCATCATTCTTTCATTTCATCCTTATCAGTACATGCTTTTTCTAAATCACCAATCAGACCTTTAGTTTGTAGGGTTCAATACTCTAATAATTGATCAGTGGTCCATTCACTTTGAGAAACATAAGTATGATAACTTTCTATTACTAAATCTATCAGTATTATCATGTTCCTTCTGTAAACTAAGCAAAATAGAGAATATCCCAAATCATCAACCATCATGTTTATCGCCCAAATGGCACTCTGAACATATTTATACCACCAATTCTGTTGTTTCATGCTAAATTTCTGGATTATTCTGGTGAATTTTTGCACAACATATTTATTTGCTTCAGGGTGGTAACTGGCAACAAAACATTGATCTATTTAGTTGTGCCGATAATTCTTCTAAGATCTTATTCTTAAATTCAGTGCCTCGATCTGAGATTAGTGCTGTAAAGCAACTGTGTCATAGAATTATCTCTTCCCAAATGAACAGTGCTATATTCTTTGCATTCTTATGTGCCAAAGCTCTTCTCTTAATGTATTTGGTTAAGTCTTCAATCACCAAAACTACATGTTCATGTTTCACTACAGTTCTGGGCAGAGGCCCTAGACAATCAATGTGAATTTTTTCAAATATCCAACTCATTGCTATAACATAGATTGGCTCTGGAAGTGGCTTCGGTACACATCATTGGCATTCCATACAGCTTGACACAATTGTCTTGACATTATTGTACAAATTGCCACTTCCCCAAACATACTTCATCTTCACCATATTTGCAGTTCTATTAATGCCTTGATGTCCACTTTCATTTGCCAAACCTTCATGGGTTGCTATTATCACCCGATACTTCTTATAGTTATCTAAAAGTACACGTTTAGGCAGGGCACCGTTCTTTGATTTTAGATATAGGTTGTTACTAATTAAGCAGTACCTTTCACTTTTTGGTTCAACTGTGTTAGATCACATGACTTCACATGAGGTTCCTAGTTAAAGTGTTGTAAGTAATATATTATCGAAAGCAAATCATTATTTCATTGATACTCAAGATCAACCCTGTATAAAAGATTCTCAACAAAGTCATCGTTGGTATACTCATTTTGTGTTGGGGAGTCAGGATAACGTGACATACCATCAGTGTTATTATACCTTTTCTCAGACTTATAACGTATCTGAAATTCAAACGATTGCAACAACAAAATCTACCGCATTAATCTACCTTTTAATTCCACTTTATTGAACAACTATTCTAATACTTGGTGATCTACCCAAATATTGAATTTATTTTTACCACATATCATTCGTTTATATAACATCCAAACACAATTACTAAATATTCTTTTTCTGCAACCATATAATGCAACTTATGTTCGTTCAATTTCCTAGAATCAAAAGAGATAGGTCTTAACCTCCCTTCTTCATCTTTCTGTTCCAGCACAACCCCAATAGAATGATCACAAGCATCAGTAAACATGTGATATAGCTTTCACCCATCCTTGGCTACTTGCCAATTAGGAGCTTTTAATGTT